TTGTGGAGCCATTAGGTTTAAATTTAGAAGGGGGGGGGGGGGGAAACCCACAATGGTTAAGAACCTATCGGGTCTAGATTGGATGGATCGGATCCTACCAAACCCTCTCATCACCAAAAGAACATTAAACCATGCATATTTCATTTTTTTATTACACACTCTTATTTTTTTTTTTTTTTTTTTTTTTGAAAAAAAAGAGCTCAGTCTAATTTATCGTATTTTTATTTAACATTTTGAATGCAATGACAAAATCAGTTTCACAAGATTTTTCTCAATTTACATGAGCTATATCACATGAAGAACTACATACAAATTAACCTTTTGGATAAAATAAAAGAACAATTTATTTGTATTCAAAATGACGAGCTACATGAGATGTTCACCCTAGAAAATTTTGTTTTGCTTGGATTGGTCAAGATTTGGATAAATATAAATTGGAGGCAAAATCATTTTAATAAATACATGTATTGTCAGGTGCATAGTGCAAATGTTATCTGTGTAGATGATGCAAACCAAATTTTAGGAAATAAATATTTTTATTTATTGTTTTCAAATTAATATTTGCTTAAGAATACCCTAATTTAGTTTTTTGATTTGAGATTATTTTGTTTACTATTCTATTAGTTTCATGTTCTACAAGAATTAGATTCATTATAAATAAAGATGGAAACCTTAGGGCAATGAAATTTTTTTTAGAATTAATGAAATTGTGAGTTTATATATTCTTTTGTTCCAACTTTAGGTATTTATTGAGAATCAATCATTGTTGAGCCTATATTATTGGCATTCATTCTAAGTCAACGAGTTTAGAGAATGACCTTGCTTGAATCAATGAATTCTAAGATTGTTATTATTTTATGTTTTGTGTTGCATCGGTTGGTATCAAAGCTTGTGACGTTCTTATATCATGCCTAGGACTTATGATGATACTTGGCAGGTTCTTGTGCTAGAAATAATAAATTATTATCTTAACCTATTGAGTTTTCATGTTGAAGGCCAATGAGAGATTACGTATCAAAGAATTATAAAGACCACGTGAATCAAATCATTAAACAAGATAATAGAGTTGAGTGGTCATTCACATAAAAAAAAATTATTCCGAATCCAATAGTGTATTGGAGTAAACTACCAATTTTTTTATGAAGAACCATCCATTGATGGAACTAATAATATGTTAGACTATTTAATACTTGAACTATCGATTGTATCTAATAGGTTTTTTAAGTATATAATCAAAGTTTATTTAGTCTCTGAATTATCGATTAAATATATTAAATCTCTGAAGTATTTAATTTAAATCTATTTAGTCCCTAAAAAAATTATAAAAATAAAATATAAGCTCATAAGTATTATAAATTAGTTAAATACCCTATTTAGCTAACATTTTATTTCAAAAAAATCTTAAATTTTTATTCTGTATTTGAAAAGTAGATGTTAGTCCTTATGATGAATTTTTTTTATAAGGGTAAAGTAATTATCTATAGTATTTTCTTATATATTTTCTATAATGGCTACATTCTTGCTTTTAGCTAGTGTTATATGTCAAATTTCGTTTACAATTTCTAAGTGATTATTTTTAAGTTTTTTCCAAGTTGTTTTTATTACTAAATTAATGTATTATTGTGTTCAATTATTATATTATCTAATTCTACTTATTTAGTATATCTAATATTCATATAGTTTAGTGACAAAACTGTTAAACCAAACTCTAATATTAATTTAAACACACAACAAAATAAAACACCTTTTAAAGATAAAATAAAAATTTAAGATTTTTCTATAATAAAATCTTAATTGGTTAGGTCTTTTACTAATTTATTGTACTTATGAGTATATATATTTTATTTTTATATTCCTTTTAGGGAGTAAGTAAGTCTGAATTAAATATTTTAGGGACTTAATAGATTCAATCAATAGTTTAGGGGCTAAATTAACTTTGATTTATATACTTTACGGACTGAATAAATTCAATCGATAGTTCAGAGACTAAGTAGACAATTTGACGATAGTTTAGGAGTAGAAACCCTAATATGCTTGCTCA